CGAATGTTTATTATTTTTATTTTTGGTAATAAATTAAGAATAGTATAATCATGTAAGATTATTAAAATGCGATTATAATTGTTTAAGCAAATTTTTCTTTCTAAGAGAGAAAGAAAGAAATATAAGAGAAAATTTTCCAAAATAATCACTGTTAATAATTGAATGTATTTATGACAAGAGCAAATCTTTTGAAATTTCCATATTACTGATATAAATTAATCCATATTACTGATTAAATTTATCCTTGATTCGATAATACTCATTATTCATGCCTGAAATAAAATTTTCTCATCTCGAACGGAACTGGATTATGTTCCCAGAACTTTTGGGAAAATACGACTTTAGAATTACTAGGTGAAACTTACGAAACATCCCATTACACACTCATATACGCGAAACGCAGTGGTAATGCACTCGAAACTTTCACAAGATAAACGGCTTGCGGTATATTTTTATAACAATTTCTGTTTTAGCTTTCTCACTTTAACTTGAATTCTGGAAATAGTCAATTCAAAAGTGAGAGAGCACCGTTGGAGGAAAGGTCCTTATGTCTGACAATCGAATGAAACCTTGCCGTCGCCGGAGATGGAATGTAAAAAGTTTCAAAGAGAGGAATTTTAATTTGTGTAATATCAGATATTTCGGATTCTCTGCTGTCCGGTGTAACAGAGAGGAGAAAGGGGGGGAGAGGGGGGGGTGAAAGGAGTGGGTTTAATCAATTAGGTGGACGCGACGGCGGGACGCGAATAACTGCATGGCGAGGAAAAGTTTGGCGTGGAAACATGCCAATACCGAAGCGATCTTTCTCGTTCCTATTTTATCACGATTGCCAATCATGAGACTCGAATGGGAAATTATGTCGAGCGAATAAAGCGAAATATTAAGATGAACGATTCTAATTTCGCGCGGGCGGATGAAACTATTTCTCTAACGATAGCTCGGTACCGTTTCTTGTTTCGCGGACGCTTTCTAAGGCGCATTATTCAACGACGCGACGTTGCACGCTGAAATGCTTCATTCAAGTTAAATACGCGTTTTAATTGCGCGGTTACCTCCTTCCTACGTTCCTTCTAAATTTTCGCAGGCGTGTACGCGCGCAATTCGTTCAATTGCGTTCATGCCTGGATGACTATGGGTACATTTTGCGTTTGACATACATAGAATTATACATACTTAGATGTTGCAACTGTTACGTCACTCACGGTCGACAAACATTGCTTTCATGTCAATTCAGTTAGTAACGCCGAGATCGGTTATTATTTTGCGCTCTTTTAATAGCAGTACAATCGCTCGGTTATACATTTCAATAAATTTAATTTTGAAAATGCAGAAAAACACATGAGAATAAAGTTCTAATATGCTTATTAACATTAAATTCTCAGTATATCGCTCGCTTACAGACCCGGGACAAAATATTTTTCGCCCGAAACAAAAGAAACAAATGCATTCTATACATATAGTATAGTAAAAAAAAATATTTCTTTTACGGATTATTGATTTATTAGATTTATTATATTTATAGATTTATTATATTTATTATATTTATTAGTTTTTCGAATAGGTATGCATGGTCATAGATTTTAGTATAATAACATATCTCTCATGGTCGTAGAAATCTGCCGCGTTATTCGTATTAGTTAATGCTGAACATAAAGTTGTGCTTACGGTTCTCTCGGGCGAGGAGACGAGGACTCAGACAATTTTATCTCGACACGTAACGATCAAGTTCATGGCGTGCAGGATAGTCAACGTATATCCGCGGAAATATCCGTGAAATTTCTGTATGTCCGAGGTCTTGCAGTTTCTTGGTGCATATGCGCCCCCCGCATGTACATACATACGTGCACACGAGCACATGTGTATATATCTACGACGCGACGACGCGAGTGAGTGGAAAGGCGAAAAATACTTTCCGAATAAATTGTCGCACAGGAATTCCACGGCGATGCTCTGAACAAAACGCTTGCTATGTAACATGTATAAGCGAAGGGAGAATGGAAAAGGAAGGTTAGTTGGTTGATTGGTTGGTTGGTTGTTTGGTTGGTTGGTTGGTTGGTTGGTTGGTTGGTTGGTTGGTTGTTTGGTTGGTTGGTCGGTCGGTTGGTCGCTCACTCGGTTTCAACGGAACACCGGAGAATACGGAGCGTCTCGTAAAAATGCAAACTTCTCGCTTCGGCGTCGCGTCGCGTCGCGTCGCGTCGCGTCGCGTCGATGCCGGGTGCGATGTGAGAGGAATCGAGCCGGTCGTTGCGCGATCCAATGTTGTCGCTTCGCCTGCGCCACGTCCAAAAAGTTGGACGTGGATTGTGAAAACGGAAAAGAAGGAAAAAGACCGGTAACCGGGCGCGAGAGCGTGCACGTGCGGGAGAGAGAAAGGGAAAAAGAGGCGAAAGGAAAGTCAGACGACGGCAGTAAAGCCACCCTATGAGAGAAACTCACGGAAAGTTCGCTCTGTACGTCGTTGCAACGCGGGTGGTCGGGACTTGCTTTGGAGATGGAGGAGAAAAAAAAAGAAAGTGAAAAAAAAGAGGAGGGAGGGTAAGTGGACCACGAAAGACATTTTCCTGATTTTTCAAGGGGAAAGAGGAGGAATCAGAAAAGCGGCTCTGGTTACTCTGAGTACAGTTACCGAGAATACAATATCACTCACATATTCGGTGATTCGGAAATATCGATATTTTTATCATCTCGAACCTTCCATTCTGCCTTTCGCTCGTCTCTTTTTTTCCACTCGTATTGTTTTAAATAATCTTCACTATCATACACTGTTAAATTTCTGAAATTGCTAAATTGCTATTAATGTTTTATTTTAATATGCATAAAAATTAAATGTAAAGTTATATCTAATGTGTTCTATAACATGTAAATATATATCTCGCTTTTTATTCTTACTATTTAGTATTGATATAGCGTTTAATTTACTGAAATTATTAAACTGCTATTGATTCTTTATTTTATTTTAAGGAGATGCTGGAGTTTGTTCTGTTTTACCGATGAAATATGATTAATTTTCAAATGCACCAATCTTTTAAAGGGATCCTAAAGTAAAGAGTCCCAATTCCAAGAGAATCTGTTTACCGACTGTTTTACCGACAAAATGTGACACATCTTTATATACTAGTACATCAATGTCGCACGCACGAACATAAATTTTCATATTTAGACATAGATAATTAGACTTTTTGCAAGTCTAATTCCACGAACATTGTTTCTTCAAGCAATCTATACCAGTTGATGGCTAGTTTGTAGTCTCCAATTTTCTAAATATAGAACGCAAAGCTTTTGTATCAAGTAAATGTTGTAACGATTTGATAGGCGTCATTTTAGATTAATGAATAATAAAAAAGATTACAGTTTCAAAAGTTTTTGCCGTTCTCGACATAAATTCTAAATTGCAGACATGTATACATTAATGCATATATTTTAATTCTGGAAAAGAATTTTCAAATCTGTAAAAGTAATAACATGCCATATCTTCTTTTCTACAAAGATTATTGCGTTCAATCAGTAAAACAGATTTTGAAAATCTTAATTAATTAAATGAATCCAAATTAAAAAATCCTTAGAGTACAGATAAAAATAGTGCGCAGACAATTTCATATAAAAAATTATAATTTCATCATCGGCTTCCCATATAGTAAAAATGTCCAAGTTACAATATATTATAGGAATAACCTAAAAGTATTGCAACGTCTGTGGTATATCCGTATGATATATTCGGAATGTTTCTACTGTGTGGATTCTGTAGTCGACTCGTGATAACATGTGCTGCATATAAGAATTTTAGACTTTGTATGTTTGAAATAAACTTAGATCGTCCTAGAGATTACACGAAAGAACAATATTATATTTATAGAAATAAGCTAGGAGTTTTAATATAAAAGAAAGAAGAATCTGAAATTTCATTTGTATGCTATGAATGAAATCGGTGTGAAGAGTAAAACAAAACAGTATTTATGCCTAGCAGTAGTGTAGGTAATGAATCTTGCAAGAGATGGTGTTGTAATATGTTAAATGAGGACAGTTGTATACATTTGAGTGAGGCAGAACAATAATGTAAAAAAACTAAATTTGGAGTTAAAAAGTCTGTATTGTCGATATTGATCAAATTGGACAGTTCCAGTATTCCTTTAATACGCATAAAAAATTAAATGTAGAATTATATCTACAATTTCCGAATATTTTGTAATATTTCTATATCATGAATGTTTTTCTCTATTCTTGTTGATTATCACGATGATCAATGAGCAGGTCAAAGAGTGTATCGTTCTACGTGGAGTAACCGATGTTTGAGTAGAGAACGCAGAATTGCTTCGGGCGAATCGAAGGTAGTAATAATCTTGGAAAGCAATTAGCAATCGAAGGGTCGACGAATACATCAGAAATCTGTTTCGAGTTGATTACTTTCTTGTAGACTGCTTTCGGTGTATCGTTCGGAGTGGTTTACCGCGTTCCTGGTTTATTAAATAACCGATTGCAATCGACGAGAGAGTTAGAACGATCGTGATAATCGTTTTCATCGTGATAATCCGTTAGCTATCGTGTTTGCAAAGGGGACGACTCTCACAATATTTCACGATATTTCTTGTCAAAAGATGATATAAATTTGTAAACCTCATTCTTCAGTCAGTTTCGGTTAACATCGAATGAAGTAATTGTTGTTTAAATTCAATTCCATTTATTGACATTAAACATATCTGGATTGCATAAAGGTGCAACTAAATATTATCAATACGCAAGTTGTATTAATATGGATATAAATCGATAATCACAATATGAATTTTATAAGTCCTAATTTTCGAAAGATAGTGGGTGAAAGAGAGGACAAACTCCATTCAAAAGGAAACGAAGAGGGAGAGAACCTATATAAATTTTGAAGCCAAACGGAGACGCGACCTCGAAGGCTCTTACCGCGCTTCAAGTATTCATAGTTCCCTCGCGCGCATCAAGTTATTCCGCTTTAGCAATGTAATGAAGAGGAAGCGACGCGCGCTACTAACCTGAGGTGGATAGTGATCCGGTAGGGCACGCAGGGCTTCCCTATATGCCGACAGAGCTCTTTGTAATCTACCCTGATCGGCATACAGCGCGCCTAATTGAAGGAGGGCCTGCACCCTGGCCGCCTCGTGAGCCCTTTTGTCCTTCAAACCGGAGCCATCCAAGGATGCACCGGCGCGCAAAACCGCAGCTGCATCAGTGCCCCGTCCGACCGAAATCAACGCGGCTCCCAGATTCACATAAGCCTCTGCAAAGACAAATAATAAGGATTGTGAGCATGCGATAAAGAGAGATCGTCGATATTCGGAGGATTTAACCTTGGATTTAGTCTACGGGCATAGATTAAATCCAGATTAATGTTAGATTCCAGATTAATTAAGATTAATGTTACATGTTTACAGAATACATTTTCTTACTTTTTAAACTTGTACATTCTTGTATACTTTTGTATATACATCTTTTATTTCAAGAGTGACACAATTTAAAAAATTAACAATATTAAAAAATTTCTTAGGATCTTACATTATAATTACACAAATAGGGAATAAATAACACGGCCTTTAAATGGTCAAGATCGTCAAGCTGAATCTGTGTTTAAATAATTTGATGTGAATTATACTACATATAATCATCATTATACTACATATAGTTTGTGTGCCGAATTGATTTTTCAGTCTTGAAACCTAACTGAACTATAGTAATAATATTACAAATTATTAAGGGAATGCTGGAGTGACCAAATTGTCGAGACATTGCAGATGGATAAAAATTTCCAAATTTACTGAATGAAATAAAAAATCCTTTTACAGAATTAAAGTAGAAGCAAAATTGAGAGGTGCTGGATTTTAAACTAAATTCATAAAAAAGATAAAAACTTACATTTTTTTCAACTCGTAGAGCTGTCACCTGACATAAATGTTTCCTTAATACAAAAGTTTTATATAACTCATATGGACAAAACGACAGTGCAGCACCCGGGGTATTACGTGCACAAACAGTAGTGAGTTTACAGAACAGATTAAAAGTTAAAAAAAAAAAAAAAAGATTTATATCGATCTGCAAATAAAATGTATATAAATGCTGAGAATGGTAAACTCAGAATGGTAAATAAAGCAGTAATTATGTTTAGCAGTAGATGCTCGAGCTTGCAAGAGATGGCGTTGCAGTATGTTAGATAAAAGAAAAAAAAGAATAAATTAAAGAATGTCACTATTATTGACTTATTTTATTTGGAAGTAAAATTTTCTGTACTATTGACATCAATCAAGTTCGGCCACGTCCAGCATCCCCTTAAATTGATTAGCAATTCAATAATTTAATACTAATAGGCATTAGACACAAATATTATAAGATCTCTTAAAAAAATCTTATATAATGCTGAATAACATATTAAAATATTATATAAATAATCTTATTGCGAAAAATATTACCTTGGCTCAAAAAATATTATCTTAAAAAATTAAATTTTTCAGAAAAGAGAAAAATTGTTTTTCAATTTGATAGAAAATTATTGGCTAATTAAATAATCATCAAAAAACATGTATTTGTAAATGATCAAATGTCATTTTTGTTAATTTGTTTCATAATTCTGAAAAGCCCACCTTTTGAGTCGTAATGATAGTGTCAATATTTTTTATGAAATTAAGCCAAATTATTTTGATGAAAAAGGATGATACTTAATTCTTATATTCGTAATACTTATATTCGTAGTATAACAATAACTCGTAGTAATAGTATCTGGAAAATTACATTTTTAGTTGTATCATTTGTAAAACTAGAAAGCGATACGTCTAAATGCAAATTTAAATTATATTCGAATACGAAATAGAGAGAGAGAGAGAGAGAGAGAGAGAGAGAGAGAGAGAATTATTATATACAATTAATATTATATGCAAATAAAAATTGTTATATAATTTAAGCATTCGTATTTACATTTAAGTATTGTATAAGTATTTCTTTTTATATATTGTATTTAAAAAAATATATAATTAAAAACAGAAATGTGTAAAATTTTCAAATATGTCTGTAACTTTTAAACTCTAAAATTATTAAACTACTTTAAGTAAAGTTTTAAGACAATAGAAAGAATAAGGAATTACTTATCAGAAATCGAATACATCGAAATACATAGTTTGTGATAAACTGAAATCGTTATTTCTTATTTTTTCTATTGTATTTGCACCCTTAAAATCATCATTATGCAATCTAAGATAATAAATTAACATGCCAAAAATGTTAGACATATACAAGAACGAATAATGAAAAGTCGGATGACTGGCGTTTGAGTGGATTTTGGAGAATAGTTTCATAAGCCAAAAAGATTATGGACCAAGTCCCGTCTTGGCGGAAGCTTTAGATGTGGCATTTCGTTTTCTCGACACCTTTATTTCTAACTTTAATTAAAAAAGTCCTTTCGTGGGGACTAACTTTTCTAGGCGTTGGGATTGGAATAAGCGCTTTGTCTCTCAAGTAAAATTGCCATAATCTCTCGCAAGCAAAGACGATAAGGGAGATTATGTATAGGAAAACTTTTATTTTAAAAGAAGGTGCAGCTAGTTTTTTTAGTTTTTTTACAGACATTTTACTTCCAAATTTACACATTTATTTGTCAATCTTCTTATGAAAGTAAATGATGAAAATTGTTTCAATCCGAAAAATCAAATTTTATATTAATTTAAAAGTATCCGAAATAATTTTATTATAATGAAACTTTTCTTATCGATTGTTCTACAATTTTCTTATAGAAATAAAAAACAGAGACAAATATAGTGCAAAAATAAAGAAACGCGTTTTTAATGAGAACAAGAAAGGAAACAATAATCTTCATCGTATTGTACTTTGAGACTTCGGCAAACGAGAGGAAAAGTGGCAATGAAAAATAGTGGGCCGTAAAAGCCGGACCGTAACTATAGATTCGCATTTAGTCTACGTGAAAACTTATTACACTCGGTACGCTTGGATACCACCTGTTATCATTTATCTCCCGCGAGCACGCTCGCGCGTTCTTACTTCTTCCTTGTTGATGAATTTCGATCTCTTCACGAATACGATCTTATCGATTTTAACGATTGTCTGTAACGCGTAGTGGATGAAAATTATTACACTATTTAGGCAGCGCTTTTACAGTTTTAATTAACAAACACTATGCCAATTATCGTGGCCAAAAGTTCAAGCGCGTCGGAATGATGATCTCCCGGTTGAGACTTTTTTGTGTATTCCTTGAAAAAAACTATTGTTTAATAATATGATTGTATAATAATATAATGAAAAGTGATGCATTATGTGTCTTCTTATTTATTTTTTATTATTCCAACTCAAGTAATAGTATTTTCAATTCTTTTCAAAAATATTCTTATTGAAGGTCTTCGTATTCCAAGTAATGACAGCTTTAATTTTCCGTCAAAAATTATACTCATCGAAAAAAACTATCGTACTAAATTAAAAAATTAAGCTCCAAATGCTACTGTCTTAACTGACCAAGTTGAATTCTATCAAATTAAACAGTAAAACTCAAGCGGTTATTATCTTTATTGTTCACTTAACTCTAATAATACGTATTATTTGTATAAAAAATTTGTATCAATAACTGGGCCAAGTTAAATTCTACATAATAAATAACCGATATGATCTTTTATTTTTATACAATGAAACCTCAATATATATCTTTAAATTTTATTGAAGGATCTTTCTATTTCAATCCAAATTTTTTTTTAATTCTTCTTAAAAGAAATTATTATATCACAATTCATTCAAAGACATTTTCTCTTCCAATAAAATTATAATTAACATTAATAATGTAAAAACATAAATATACATACGTTTATGGCAAAATTAAATAATTATTGGATTTAGTGAAAAGCGCTTCATATTTTTCCTCGCTCTTGTTCTTGCTTCCAAAATACAACCCGTCATTTTCAACAATATTATATTATTTAATACCTTTAACGGTCTTAGCTGGATCTTTCGTGCTTATTTAATCCTCCTAAGGTTGAGGTAAAAATGATTCCATTCGTTCGTTTATTTTATATATGCACTGTTTATTTTATGTGAGCTTGGTTAACTTATTTTCAACTCGTTCATTAAATGTCTTAGCGATCGAAATCGTTTAGATAAGTGACCTATCCCTCCAATTCTAGCTGGGCAATGACGAACATGATAATCACAACGACGTAACTTAAAAAGTGACAGATCCGAACTTTGTTTTTCGCAATATCTCCGCATGTAGGACACATAGAAAAAAAAAAATAAAAGCACTTTTATTATATAATCCGAATAGAAGTTATCGATTGAGCATACATAGAATTTGATCAGTTCAGTTATTGAGATTTGATAATCTTGATTCCTCACAACTCGCCAGCTCGTGTAAAGGAACACGGCTAGTCTCGTGCTATGAGAGATATGCGCTTATCTTAGCGCCGAAACACTGCCATGTCTCTTGATACCTGTGTGCTTCGTATTATTTTGAATAAGGAATAAGACAGCTGTGAATCGGCGGCGGTGTTGGGTAATCCATTTTCATCGCAGCCGCGCCGCTCCCTAGAGATACTCTATGGAATTAGAGTGCCGGCTGAGCTTCCTGTATCTCCGAATCGGGATGAATGTGTACGCGACGAAACTCGCGTGAAACTAGGCGCATGCGTGCACACTCTCGAGCATGTCATGCATGTTGTGTTGGTTTAAAGGGAACATAAAAACGATTAGTGATATTGAAATTAGCACTTGTGCTTTGCACACAGACGATTTATGTGTCGTTGACACATCATTACATCAATATTTCGCTTACGCACGCCACACATAAATTTTCGTATAACAATTACGCTTTAATTAGACATATAAGTCCAATTTTAAGAATTCTATTCTATTTTTTCATCCAAACTATTAATTTTGTGGACTACTATTTCGTAAGTACAGATTGTACAGTTTTTATCTGAAGCAAATATTGTCACGATGACAACTCCGGAGCGCCATCTTGGACTAAGAAATGGTAAAGATCTCGATTTCGAAATTTTTTGTTGTTCTCAACATAGAGCATAGCATTCCACCTCATTGACACGTATTAATGCGTATGCTTTAATCCTGGAAAAAAATTTTCAAATTAGTAAGAAAGAAAAAAAGTGTTATAAAATATACAAAAATTGTATGGTTTAGTCGGTAATACAGACGACTTTAGGATCCTTTAAGAGGGATAACTGATAAAATATATCGCATTAATATGTGGAGTCTATGAGATAGAGTTTATGCTGAGAA